AGAGAGAGAGAGACGATGGGGGCGATAGAGTCCTGAGACTATCAATCGACTATCAAAGTCGTCGTTGTCATCCGTTGTCATTCCGACGCGTTTCACCCCACGGACAACGGAAGGAAATTACGCGATACGTAATCAAACAGCATGATTAACGGTCGCTACCGCGAAAGGTTCCGTCACTTTGGAAATCACTTGTCAGCTCGAACGAGGAAACCCCCGCCTGAGATCCCTCCCCCCGTTAATCCCAACACGGTAATGTGTATATATGCCATTGTGTTTACACGAGAGATGTGTACACGAGATACGTACGTTTACCCAGTTAACATAAACTCTCGTGGTTTCCAGTTTTGCGTGAATTCCACGCGAGTTGGCTAACGGCGAGATATACAGACTCAATCGACGCTAATCTCTCTATTTCTTAAATTTTTCTTCAAATAATTGTGTTTAAAAAAAAAAAAAAAAAAAACAAGTTCAAGGAATACAAAGGTACTTGTCATACGTACGTTGTTGAGCAATTCTTTAGCTATTACGATTATAAATAAATTTCAGAACATGTAAATCTATTTAGATTTAAATATATAATTCATTACATTTACGTTTACGTATTCTACGTTTCTTTTCTCATTTACGGGCCGTTAACACGCAAACGAAGTAAAAACGTAAGCACGTTCTAGCCTCTCGGTTTAATTAATTATCACTCTAATCTGAGTGGAATTAATTCTGACGTAAAGTTCAAGGCACTACCGAGGGACCTTCCAACCCCTCGGACGTAGATTTATATAGATCCCCCGAACAGTTTCGAAGAAATTTTATATCAGATTCAAATAAAAAAAAAAAAATCAAGTATTGACAGAAAAGAAGAGGATTTCATCATCTCGACTCTGTCCGCCCACTTGCTTCAATGACACGACGATAATAATTATGCAAACGACTCGGGCGGTAAATGTGAAAAAGTAAATTTCGCGTTTTGTTTCACACGCGCCAGACATTACGAAAATATTATTATTAATTTCAGAGATAAACGCGGAAAAAGAGCGCTTCTTGAATGTATTCTGTATGTATTTAATAAAACACGTAGACACAATACTGATTATCTGGCAATAAAAGATATGCCGCTTTCGTAACCGCCGACACAATTCGGCTTGATAGGCATCGTTCACAGATTAAACGAACGACATTTGCATGCGAGCGTCCGACATTTACATAAAAAATAGTCCGCGCTGAAATTTGTCTTTTTTCGGAAGCGAAATTCTAGAATCGAATATCTTTTGCATGTGAATGTCTGATGAACCGAATAGAACGGTTTGTCGGATATATCGTCGGATTCAATCCTTTTCCATTGGACTTTCAACACTTTTCTACATTTCTCTCCGTTTCTATCCCCCCCCT